AAGATACCCACTACTGACTAAAAACCCAAGAGAGGAGATCTTCTAATCAGCTTGAATACACAGTTAAAGTCTTAATCATATTAATCTCATTACAAACTGAGTCACATAGTCTCTTAACTTTTCGCACATCTTAAATTTTATTTAACTGATATCAGGAAATACCCCAAAGCATCTCAATTCAAAATTTTTCAAAGGCACTTCCTTTGAAATACTTCCTGTCGCATGACCCTTAACTCTGTTGGCAGAGTCATTGAGAAGAAGAGAAGAGATTGGATTTATACCCCACCCTTCACTACCCAAAGGAGTCTCAGAGCGGCTTACAAACTCCTTTCCCTCCCCCTCCCCACAACAGGCACCCCTGTGAGATAGGTGGGGCTGAGAGAGCTCTTTCGAGGACTGCTCGTGAGAGGACGACTCTGAAAGAACTTGTGACTGACCCAAGGTCACACCAGCAGCTGCATGTGGAAGAATGGGGAATCAAACCCGGTTCTCCCAGATCTGAGTCCACGCTCCTAACCACTACGCCAAACTAGCTCTTTGGGTTGGCCACCAAAGTTTCCCTGCGTTGAGATTTCCCAGCATATTTGTGAACCAATATGAGTTTTGAGGCGATTAAACATTGGTGATGGTTAGTCCTCTAGTCTTCCCAATTTAGGCCCATGCTGCACGTTATGTTTTACATGCAGATTGTCCCAGAGACTGCCAGCCATAAGGCAACTGTGAGTTCCCTGTGGCAAGTCAATTTAGAAATGCCACAGGGGCCTGTTTTGGATTGGGACATCCCTGTGGCCCCAGGGGACGTCATTCACCCCATCAGTGGTTGGCACATGCAGTTCCCTAATAGGGTAACTCCGAGCAATCCTAATCAGGTCTACTCAGAAGTAGGGCCCGGGTTATTCAGTGGTGCTTACTCCCAGGAAAGCTTCCATAGGATTGCAGCCGTTGTCCTTTCCGGCACTTATAAATTGGTTTACTATGGGGTACTCGCGACTCGTCTCCCGCAAGTCCCCGTTGAGACCACGTGTTCAATGTAATGGGTATTTTGGACCTTAGGGGTGCTATCAGGAATGACCCGTTGCCAGGTGTTTTCACGGGCACAACCAGTGAAAGCGTCTGCGTTGTTTCCTTTTCCTTACCCTCTGCTGTTAGACTCGTGATATAAAACCGAGGAGAATTAGTTCCAGTCTTCGATTAGATCAAGGTTAACATGAGAGAGCTTCTTTGGGCGTTGTGTCCATGCGAGAAAATATGCTATTTTATGTGGTGGGTCTGTTATTTGACTATTGACAGCAAGTATTAGATAAGAGGTTTTAAAATAGGGCTGCTGTTTTAAAAAAGCAAACAACCCACGCATCTGTTCACAGTTGGTATATGGAGCTCATTTCCTGTCTGGCCTTATCGGGTTTGAGTTTTTCCTTGTATTATCCTGTGTTTGCAAGCAGAGATATTTGTCTGTGCAGTTGCTTCTTAAATACATACTGGCCATTTGTCTGCTTGTATTCTTCAGCGGAACAGAGTTAACACAAGGTTAATTAAACCGGAATTCATCCTGCGAAGAAATAATGCTGGGAACCTCTGCACTCCTTCGAGCAGCAGCCGAGACTGTAAAAATTGTGATGCTTTTTGTCGACGTCACCAAAGGATGCTGTGGTCCTGGTCACATGGGCCGGAAAATGCGGAAGGGAAGCGTGGCTGTTTGCCCCAGAGCTAAGTAACGTGCAGCCACCTGATCACATGTCCTGTGGAGGTCCCGTGGGTATGCCGTTAGGTGCCGATCACGCAGCTATCCTGCAGCGCGGCAAAGAAGCGGCGTGGCGCGATCACACTGGCAATCGCTAGGCGCCGCTTCCATGGCAAATGGGAATTTTCCCCCCTCACCACAGTGTGCGCATGTGCCGGTGGGCGTTTGTGCGCATCCTGTGGAGACTTAAAAAAACAACAACATCCGGTCTGCGACGGGACATGGACGGGCGCCGGATGCCATGGGATTCCAGCAGAAACGCGATCAGACGCCCGCCCTTGCCGTGCGTTTTCCAGAAACTAGCACATCATATGTACTAGTTTTTTACTCCGTATCGTCGGCAAGAAGCCACGGGTTAGCCACGGGTGCACGATGCTTCCCAGATGTTGCGGTGTGATCGCTCCCGGAAAATCCGCCTGTCATCCGTATCTTTAGCGTGGCAAATGCTCCGTGTGAACGGGGCCTGTGATAGGCTTTTGTGTGCCTTCCAGCAGCTGTTTCTGTGTGTGTTTGTGTAACATAAAAAATAAGCGTACCCACCATTCTAAACAAATTTATAAAGATGTTCAGAGGACAAACAGTATAAGCAAGGCTATGAACATTTGGAACTAGAGGAATTAAAAGCTTCTTTTAAATACCAGGAATTCCTGATGCGCGCGCCCAGTACGAATCATGTAAATTAAGCATATTGGAGTACAGACACATCATTTCTACAGTGCGTTCTTCTTCTCAGGATGATACTTCCAGAGGTTAGCTATGTCAGTTAGCAGTACAACAGCTACATTCATGTCCAGTAGTGGGAGTTTTGACTCTTGAAAGCTTACACCTCCAAAAGCTTATTGGTCTCTACGGTGCCTCTGGATTTGAATCTATTATTTTGCTGCTCTTGACTACAGAAGGGCCACCCCTCGACTCCAGCGTCTAACCTCTAGAAATGTACCTTTGTGCCTTCTAAAGTTTTACCATGTTTCCATGCCTATCTTTGCAACGAGTAGGCCTCCACTAACTGGGTGGCAATGTGCAAATGAGGTTCACTGTCGGTAAGAGTTAAGGCGATGCACATGGGGACAAAAAAATCCCAACATCGCTTATAGGCTAATGGGGTCTGCACTTGCTGAGACAAAGAGGGGGAAAGATCTTGGGGTCATAGTGGATAGGTCAGTGAAAATGTCACCCCACTGCGCTGCAGCGATGAAAAAGGCAAACTCTATGTTAAGAACGTAAGAACATAAGAGAAGCCAGTGTTGGATCAGGCCAATGGCCCATCCAGTCCAACACTCTGTCACACAGTGGCCAAAAACACCAGGTGCCATCAGGAGGTCCACCAACGGGGCCAGATTGCAAGCTCCCCAGGGCAGGGACCTGTCTATTTTTGTAGCATTTTCAATGTCCTCATACTAATTTTCCCCTCATAAAATGGATATTTTATACTGGCACTGTACAGACCGTAAGAACATAAGAGAAGCCAGTGTTGGATCAGGCCAATG